TCCGGCACACAACTCGATTTGAAGGGCGTCCAAACAGAGACGGGAGGGGGGCGAATCCAGTACTTCAACGCAGAAGGATTCCCGTTTGCGTCTGGGGAGATAGTGGGTGGTCTTTACAAGATGAGTGTCCGAGTCGAAGATCCTGATGAAATTCCCGCGGAGGCAAATTTAGCCCAAAATGTCGACATTCCGACAACAACTCCCGCGGGACCTGATTTCAGCCAAGATCTCATCAACTTAACAACACCATCCACCATGGCTGTACTCGGCCCAAGCAGCGATGAAAACGCCAAGCGAGCGGTTTTTTCCATCGTCTAATGGGCCATCTCGACGTAAAAGGGCTCAAGACTGCGACATCCGGCCTTCCCATCGACTCTGTGAACATCAAGGACTGCCGGGTGTGTGCCTTGGTAAACATTAAACGACTTAAATTCCCTTCTAAAGCGTCAAACCGCGCTGAACGGGTCTTATTTCGAATACATTCCGACATATGTGGACCTTTTCCCACCGGCTACGGTGGCTTCACTTACTTCATCACCTTCACCGACGACTTTCGTCGTTTCGCCTCAGTCTACTTTCTCAAATCCAAGGATGAAGCCCTCAAGTGCTTCAACGAATACCGAATCGCTGCCGAAAACTTATTGGGTGTCAAAATCGTCTTTCTCCATGTAGACAACGCCCCGGAACTCATCCACGGCCAGTTCAAGGACTACTGCCTCCAAAATGGCATTTCCTACGAAAAAACCGTCCCTGACGCGTCTCCTCAAAATGGCGTGGCTGAACGTCTGAACCAAACTATCCAGAATATGACGCGAGCAATGCTCATCGACTCCTCCCTTACGCAATGGTTCTGGCCACTCGCTGTACAAGCCTGTGTGCATATCAAGAATCGCGTACCACACGCAGCAAATGACGATGGCTCAACTCCGTTTGAGAGTTGGTTCAAGCACAAACCAAACCTCTCCCATTTACGACCTTTCGGCGCCTTTGTAACGGCTCGAAAGACCAACTCAATGGAGCAAATGAAGTTTCTGGCAAGAGGCGAGGAGGGGCGTTTTGTGGGCTATGCGCGAGATTCCAAAGGATATCTTATCTGGTTTCCCAAGGCAAAAACGGGCTAGACGAAATGGCCGCGACAGCCGCGACATGGCCGCGACACAGCCGCAGCAAGGCCGCAGCAAGGCCGCGACAAGGCCGCGACCACTGTCACGCTCCGGTGCACTTGGCCGCACAAATGAGAAATATCAAGAGACTAAAAATGTGCCCGAGTTGTATACCTTTGGTTCAACTGTTCCACTAGCAGTGCCATCCTGAGTGTCGCCCAAGTGTGCTGCCGCCTGCAGCCTGCGGGTGCCAGAGGGACTTGGGATTCAAGTTACTAGCCTGAAGTGCGACACTGGCTGGTCAGATTGGACTTTGAGAGTGTTCTGGTGGCGAACATTGATAGTGTGGGTGGCCAGCAGGAGTGCGAGCACCGCCGAGAGGCCAAAAGACTCAACCGTGGCCAAGATACCTCAGTACTGCCATTTGGACCAGTAAGAGTTGGGGTTTGCAATGGCCATACTCAGACAGCCGGCTAGCGTTGGCCGATCCGGGATGACTTGTATGTGAAAAGGCAGTCGAATATCAAGTTGCGGCCATGTGACTGATGCAGCGGCCATTTCACTGATGTTGTGACATGGCCGCAGCACAGCCGCGGACCGACCGCAACAAAGCCGCGTCAAGAATTTTGATGGCTGCGGCCATTGGTGGACAGCCACCAAGACTTGGCCGCAAGGCCGCAACATGGCCGCTGCACGGCCGCGACAACTGCTGACTTAGGCACCTTTGTGCAAGGAATTGGCATTGTAAGTGATATATTTTTATATTATATGCTACAGAGAGCCCCCACCAAGCATACCATGCATTCCACTGAGGAATAATGGTGCGGACGGGCTCGATGCGGCTGTGTGGCTGTGCAAACGCGGCCCTGCGGCCGTGTCGCGGCCATTTAGCGTGGCCCGGCAAAAACCATCCGTCCACGGCGAGATGTAGAATTCCACGGGTTCCCCGAAATACCACCTTCGACATCGATGTCTGGGGAAATGTGGGAAGATGTACCGTCGGAACTCGAACAACACTTCCGAGAGCGGGAACAGGTGCCCAAGGCCGGTGAAATGCCCGCCTTAGAGCAAAACCAAACCCTCGAGTATGCCTCACTGTTAACGGTGATGACAAACGTTGACCTGTTTACCAGGCGTCCCTCCGTATCGGATGAGACAACTATACCAAGAAGCGCAACACCCGAGTATGTGTTAACACATCGGGTTTATGCAGCTGACCATATCGCAGGCCTGTAACGCGGGTTCTTGACGAAGTAATGCATGATATACAAAACGAGTCAAGGAACTCGATTATGTGCGTTAACGTACAACGGATTCGTTATCGAATACCTAACTGTGAACAGCGACGATGTCGCAATGCCCGATGCAGAGCAATTGCCTGAATCCGAGCCTGTCGATGATACCCCCCTCGCACAACGAAAGACACCTCGAGTTCGTCGTGTACCTGCTCGACTCATTATTGAGCACGCGACATTGGACGAGGGGGGGGAGGACTTTGTTATTTCGGAGGATTACATCCTATCCGCCCTACTGTCGGGGGACGAACTCGAGATCGAATGCGAACCAGCTGACCTTCCTGACCTGGCGCAAGCTATAGAGAAATCAGAGAAGATCTACTCAGCCCTCTCGAAACCTATTGACGATCCCGACGCCAAGGACCCGAACTCGATCCCAGAAGCAAAAGCCTCTATTTACTGGCCTCAATGGCTTATCGCTATCTTCGAGGAATTAGAATCCTTAAGAGCAAAGGGGGTCTATACCGAAGTTGATGAAATACCAACTGGCCGGAAAGCTGTCGCTTGCAAATGGGTACTACATATCAAACGCGACCGAGACGGACGAATCTCACGATTCAAAGCGAGACTGGTCGCAAAGGGATTCACTCAGATTCCTGGTCAGGACTATAACTACACCTTCGCTCCTGTCGCTCGTTGGGAATCCATCCGGTTCGTTCTCACACTCGCCGCCATGAACGACATGGTCTTACGCCAAGTCGACGTCAAAACTGCGTTCTTGAACGGACCGCTAGACGAAGAAATTTACATGCGGAAACCGGATATAGCTAGGCCTGGGTTCTGGAGACTACTCAAAGGTTTGTACGGCCTAAAACAGGCCGGACGACAGTGGTACCTGGAGCTGAACCCGCGTCTCGAGCTCATTGGGTTTAAGCGAATCAAATCCGACTGGAGCGTCTACATACGGCGTCAAGATACCGCACTCACGATCATAACGACAAGTGTAGACGACATGCTCATTGCTTCATCGTCCCAAGTTGAGTCCGATGCAGTTGTCGCAGCACTCACGGCTCAATTCGAGATAACCGACAACGGCGAACCAAATTTACATTTGGGCTGCACAGTTGAGCGAGACTGAATTAACAAGATGATTCGCTTGCACCAAAAAGTCGTTCACCGAATCTATCCTGCGTGACTTCGGATTCGACAAGAGCAACTCTGTCCAGACACCCATGGATCCAAGCACGCGTCTCGTGGCCGCGACCGATGAAGAAGTTGTCAAGGCAAAGGACTTTCCTTATGCAGCAGTGGTGGGCAGATGCATGTATTTGTCGACATGCACTCGACCTGACATTTCTTACACCGTACGCGAGCTGGCCCGATTCATGGCGCGATATGGACCCGCCCACGTAACTGCGGCGAAGCACTTGCTGCGCTATCTTCGAGGGACAACATCGCATGGAATTCGGTTGGGCGGAGCACGGCAACACACACCAACTGTTACTGCCCTCAGCGACTCGGATTGGGGCATGGGAGATGATAGAAAATCGATCTCAGGCTTTGTAATATTCGTGGGTGACTCACCGGTGTCTTGGAGCTCAAAACAGCAGGCAGTTGTAGCCCTATCTTCTTGCGAGGCTGAATATCTAGCAACGACACATTGTGCCAAGGATATTCTTTGGTTCTGGAACATCCTCGAAGAACTCGGGTTCAGACAAGATCAACCGACATCGCTATTTTGCGACAACCAAGGAACTGTGGCTTGTACGCACGATCCACATGCTCATTCGAAGATGAAGCACATCGCAATACGAGAGCACTTTATCCACGACTGTGTCTTGAACCGGTGGATCGACGTGATGCACATCGCCGGCAACGACAACATTGCGGATTTGTTCACGAAACTATTGCACCGTGTGATGCACTCACGTTGGGTCAAATTACTACGACTGGACGCGCGTCAAGGGGGGGTGTCAGAGACTGACGCACGTGCCAGATAATCTGGCGCACTTGCGATCTAATCTACATATCGATCGGTCGGTTACTTGGAACCTGGGCGACGAGGAAGCCCCTACCGCTTCTCTCGTCGCACCAGGTATGACTCCTATTCTACTTACCCATTCATGTACTTATCTACCGCTTCTCTCGTCGCACCAGACATCATATCATATATATTTTCACAAGACTGACTTTAATTCAAGGGTATCATATGCGAACCCATTTGGTGAAGTCCATACAAGTACGATCAAAAACCATCCGGAAAGCCCTCGAGCAATTCAACGAGGCGGCTATGCTTCAAGATCCACCGAAGGCCCAAATCCCCTGGGACGATGTGATTACTCGAACGTTTCTGGCCGAGTTTGACCTGCTCCGTGATAGCAACAGCGAAATTCAGCACAAACGATGGGCACGGCCTACGTATCGAGAGGTCATGCATCGCTATTTCAAGATTGTCCGAGCACGGGAGGAAATCGAGCGGCTGAATGTGGAGATTCGGCGACTCCTGACTTGCATGCGAGATGATGCTGCCTTCTTGCAAAAGAAAGAAGCCGAGATGCGCGACGCAACGGGGAAGTCGGTCCAGCAAGCAGAGCAAGACTTGTTGATGGCGGCTCAGCTCTCTCAGTATGCTTTAAGCCGACATCGATTTGACGACACCCACATGGAGCGTTTCCGGAGCTTAGCAAAGATGGAAGGGTTCACTGGTTCTCTCGAGTTGGGCGAGGCTGTCAGGCCATGTGGTGCCTCTTGCGCTAACGACGACGAGATGGATGTTGACGACATCATCATAACTCCAGGCGAGACAGATCATGGTCATGGTGGTGCCTTTGCGGGTGGTGCTGATGACTCCGGAGATGAAAGTGAGTCGGAAGATGAAGGCGATGATGCTTATGATGCTTACATATCGGATATTCTGTATGATCTTGCTGGTCTTGGGCTTGATGACGAGGAGCGTGTAAATTGGACCTGATATGATATTTCCTTTTTTAGCAGTCAGCCTTCCTATTATAGTAGCTGTTATATTTTTGTGCCAAATGAATTGTTTCTCATTTATAGCAGATAAGGCTGAGAATTATAGCAGATATTGCAGTATAGACACCTATAGATGGGCACGAGTCTTGCAAGTCCAGAGCCTCAAGAATTATTGCATTTGTAGTAGAATTATTACTCTAACTATCACAGCATAGGGATTTGAACACTATCTCTTCATGTTAGAGGCACCACCCACATGGGGTGGTGCCTCTAATATGTGGGTGGGGGTGGGATTAACAGGTGCTTCTCAACAATAGATTTCTCACTCTCACACTAGATTGGCTTTAATTATTGCAAATTATATTGTGTTATAGCACATTATACAGCCCTCAAAATAATTATGCATAATTTGGTCTAAGTTACCTTGGGAGGTTTTTCCTGATGAGGTCCTCGATCGACGGCAAGACAGGTTTTCGAATCTCATGTGATGTGACATGTGACGCAGCGCTGCACTCTATGCCTCCCAAACGAAAAACGAACCGAGATCGAGGTCCAGGGCGCAAAGGGCCACCAGCAATGGAATGGCAAGAAAAAGCGCGCTTCAGGCTCCGACGATGAGGAAAAGCATCCTTCAGGCTCGAGGACGGTGATTGACCCTGCAGTCAAAGTGTGTCCTCCCCTGCTTAGTCTCTTTGTTGTTGACAATAACCAGACAGCCCTGAAAGCGGGATATTGACATATAGATGGCGCCTGGATGTACCGTGTCAGCTGGATTCACTTTCAGCTGGATTCACTTTCGCAGCAAAGACGCAATCCTAACGCAAACGATGACAGAAGGAGGAGGAAATTGGCCAAGCGTTGAAGGAGAGCGGGGTTCCGAGAGAAGAGCTTTGGCTGACATCAAAAGTATGTTCTTTACTATAGTTATTTGCGTGTCTGAACGACGAATAGCTATGGAATACTTTTCACGAGCCCGCAGACATTGAACCAGCGCTAGACGACACGCTGAAGAAGCTTGGAACGGACTACCTTGACCTCTATCTTATCCACTGGTTTGCCCAAACTGTTTCATGCTCTTCTTGTTATTGACTCCTGATAAGGCCGCTAGCCCAGAAAAACGGACAGCCATACAACAAGACACTGACGGAGGACCCCACCTCAGGCTACCACCCCCCCTAAACCTCTTAGGGTTAAATACCCCCCCCTGACTTCTAACCTAAGAGGTTCCCCTGCATGGGTTTAACCCGCATCCTATGACTGTTCCCATCACCATGGGTGTCTCCACCCCCTGTCACATCACACCAGCTATTTAGTGCCTGTGGTTCACCCATCCTAAGCAAATAGTATTAAATTCATTTTGGGCTGTATACTCGGGAAAAATATATAGAAATTATATAAATGGTCTGACTAGTCTAAGGTAGTATATTATGGTGATTAGGGGACGGGGAAAAGACTTTGATTAGTGTGAGGGTATAGTATGTAGGGGGGTTTAGGGCTCTGGGCTAGAGGGGGGTCTAGATGGCTATAGAGTGACTAGCATAAGTAGATAGAAAGGTATTCTCTGCTCTATCATAGTCTAGGGCTAGGAAAAGAACTACAGGTATATGGGTTGGCTTGCAGGGCTTCTATACATGATATCATCTTATATATTTATCTAAAAGAATCATAGAAGGGGGATGGAGAACAAGTCTGAGTCTATAAAGTAACTAGTCTAGACAGGTGGAAGGATATTCTCTGGTATATAACAGTATCTAGGGCAAGGAGAAGCACTAAAGGTAGATTTATACTATTATATATTTTTTTGCAAAAATAAATGCTGATGGCATGTTCAACCTAGGCAACACCCAAGGCTTCATTGGGTATACCAGAACACCTCCTTTGAACCCTCCCATGGTGTACCCAATCATGCCTGATGGGACAGGTGTGGGTGTATCCACCCATTAATGTGGGCACACCCTGGAATGCCCACCCGAAGCGGAGGGCATCACCCATATCTGATGGGATCACCCAGACAGTTTCCAGCCAGCACCCATGGGTGATCCCATCATCAGGCATGTGGTAATACCCACACCTGCCTGAAAAGGCAAGGCAGCACCCACCACAGGTGGCTACACCCAGCGTGCTTCCTGGCTGGGTATGTGGAACACCCACCCACTGTGGGTGAAGTCTAAAGCCAAGTTTTTGCTGAATGAGTATATAGGGGGTGAAGAAAGGTGAATATATGACATAGGCCCTCTAGGCCAAGTCTTCCGGAATCATACTATGTGATATGTTATACAGTGTCCCAAAAAGGAATTTTCATCAATAGACACTAGAGCTGGTAGTTTTAGTGACTGTATCATGTGGTTATATACTATAATATAACATGATATACATGACAAGTTTTCAAAAAAAGGAAATTTCCACAATTTGAGGATGTAATCATTACAGAATGTCACAGATCATCACAAAACCAAAGTTGTCTATATTGTCTATATAAACAACTTTCATTAAGTAACCTATAGTGACATTTAATTAGTTCTGTCTACACTAGCCAATCACTAGCTAATCTATTACTGATAAAATGATATCTCAACAACTAGGGTGGCTACAGAGCTGATTGAAGTTCTACTAAGGATACCTAACTGGTAGGGTCAATATCCCTGTCAATATGATCTTATCAGTATATCCATACTATCCAATAATTGTGCATCAGACTTATTAATCTAGCTCTATCTCTACAAGTTCTCCATGCATTCAGATGATTGTTACATTAGTAGGTAGGTGGTCATATTGTCTTGATATGGTCTTATATGACCATAGTCTTATACCTTTCAAATATACTGTTATATCATTTTTCTGTGGGTTTTTCTGTTTCAAACTTTATCCAGCACAATGAGGCCCTGATATCTGGGTGAGAAATGCATAGATAACCATGATCTAAGTTGTGTTATAGTCAATTGGACGTCCATTATAGCTCCAAAAGACACACACATATTTTTAGACAGCCTACACACCTGTATATATGGCATATATCCTGTTATTCCAATCTCCCAATAACTTACTTAGAGGTACAGGATCACTGATGAGACAAAAGTAGGAGGCATACAGAGGGGTCCCCCTAAGAGGTGGTATGCTCCCCATGATCCTTTATCTACATATGTAATTGCTTGTTCTTCTTCATTATACATATGACTACTGTTACATATGATATTGACAATACAGCCATGATCTGCTAGGTGATCATGAATCAAAATATGTCAAGTTCAGTCAATAAGGTGTATGCAGATCCCCTTATCTTTCCTTTAATTGATCTCTGAATGCTCATAGAGGATGAATTTGGATGGACATTCAAAGACCAGTGAGATGTGAAACTGGTTTCCATGAATAGTGGGGTATATAGACTGTGTACTGGACATTGAGATGCATGTATGGGGGATATCTGGATATCTACTAGGACCCTGTACTGTAATTAGTTGTGGTTCTGGCATGTGTTAGGGTTAGGGCTAACTCTAAACCCTAACCCTAACCCTAATCCTAACCTTCAAATAAACCTGTCCCGCACTTGAATTAACCTTATAGCTATTCTGGATCTTTCACAGTACTATTATCAGTGATATCTATTGCAAAGATGATGAGTTCACCATGGCATGACCTTTTTGAATCTGAAAAATCAAAGCATACAGACCAGTAAGAGTATGGTCCACATCTTAGAAAGTGGTGCCTTTGCCCCTCCAGCATCTCTCCGTCCTAAGTTATATAGCACCAAGGTTCTCTAGGAATTGACTGACCCTAACACTTGCTGCATGGTTGCCAATGGGTAGGATTATAGTAGACCATTACACAGAACTATATCAACTTGGATTATGAGATTCCATGCATGGGGACCCAAGACATCAGCAAAATGCTTCTCAACTCTATATTCAGTGATACTTGGCAGTCAACAGATTAATGTAATATATGATGAGTGAGGTAGATTCAGATGGTATACCCTTGAAATGAGCTCCCTCCCAGCCTTATCCACCCAGACTAGCTAAATATCCATGTTATCTTTCAGGGTTGATGGAGATCAAATACCACTGATGAGTGAATGCCTTGCCTTCTCAGTGTTAAATTCACTTGGGACTGCAAGTGGACACACTAAAGTCTTACTTTGGAGTTTCTGGAAATATAGGTCATCTACCTCATAATGTTGGAGTACCAGATATTTCCTTTTATATGACTAAATAGTAATTACAGTGGGTATATCATATAATGGTAATCAGGAGCCATAGACTATTAATAAGACTGTTGAGAATCTTCCTAACAGTGCTTAAATCATGTATTTCCATTAAGTAGTTATGGATATAGAAGCTCATCAGTTATAGATCTGCTAGGCACTAAAACTACCAGCTTCAGTATCTATTAACAAAAGCTCCTTTTTAGAACACTGTGTCACATATTACATAGTGTGACTCCGGGCAACTTGGTCTAAACTACCTAAGTCGTATTATGCACCTTTATTCATCCCCTACATACTGGACTTAGCGAAAAATTTGCCTTGGACTTCACAATTATTCACCCTGTTCACCACCATTTATTCACCCCTCGATAGATTCATTGTAGACAATGTAGATGTAAATGATGATAATGTATTTATTTAAATGCAGATTCTTCTTTGGTGTTTTGTCCTTCCAGCCAGCCTGCTGGGCGAAGAGTGACACGTCAAAACATATCCAATGGGTGAGAGCATGAGCATGGATTGGTATATAGTGAGTCTGCGGAATTAGATACGCTCTGATAGGGATGCCTATCCTGATCGACAGGCACGTGGGTGTACCCAGGCGGGTTCTGAGGGAAGGCGGGGGAGGACCCACAGTAGGTGGGTGTTCCACATACCCAGTCGGGAAGCACGCTGGGTGTAGCCACCTGTGGTGGGTGCTGCCTTGCCTTTTCAGGCAGGTGTGGGCATTACCACATGCCTGATGATGGGATCACCCATGGGTGCTGGCTGGAAACTGTCTGGGTGATCCCATCAGATATGGGTGATGCCCTCCGCCGGTGGGCATTCCAGGGTGTGCCCACATTAATGGGTGGATACACCCACACCTGTCCCATCAGGCATGATTGGGTACACCATGGGAGGGTTCAAAGGAGGTGTTCTGGTATACCCAATGAAGCCTTGGGTGTTGCCTAGGTTGAACATGCCATCAGCATTTATTTTTGCAAAAAATATATAATAGTATAAATCTACCTTTAGTGCTTCTCCTTGCCCTAGATACTGTTATATACCAGAGAATATCCTTCCACCTGTCTAGACTAGTTACTTTATAGACTCAGACTTGTTCTCCATCCCCCTTCTATGATTCTTTTAGATAAATATATAAGATGATATCATGTATAGAAGCCCTGCAAGCCAACCCATATACCTGTAGTTCTTTTCCTAGCCCTAGACTATGATAGAGCAGAGAATACCTTTCTATCTACTTATGCTAGTCACTCTATAGCCATCTAGACCCCCCTCTAGCCCAGAGCCCTAAACCCCTACTACTACTATACCCCCACACTAATCAAAGTCTTTTCCCCGTCCCCTAATCACCATAATATACTACCTTAGACTAGTCAGACCATTTATATAATTTCTATATATTTTTCCCACGAGTATACAGCCCAAAATGAATTTAATACTATTTGCTTAGGATGGGTGAACCACAGGCACTAAATAGCTGGTGTGATGTGACAGGGGGTGGAGACACCCATGGTGATGGGAACAGTCATAGGATGCGGGTTAAACCCATGCAGGGGAACCTCTTAGGTTAGAAGTCAGGGGGGGGTATTTAACCCTAAGAGGTTTAGGGGGGTGGTAGCCTGAGGTGAGGACCCATATCCGACATGGCAGAAGCTCGAGGAGCTGGTAGCGAAGGGGAAGCTTAGAAACATTGGAGTTAGCAAGTGTGTTAGTTGTTGTCGACATACATCTCCGTTCTGACATGCTTTTATAGCTTTAATCTCCGCAGGGTTTGTGTCGCAGCCATCTAATTTACTTCATCTCATTTGCTATAGACTTCAGAACCTCACTGCAAACCCACTCAAGATCCAACCCGTTTGGCTCCTTCACATCTCCCTCGACTCAACATATTTATAGGTTGAGATCAGCTATTGGGTCCCACAACCTGCGCTTCTCGATGTCTGTCTGATTTACTTTTCAACTTACTTTCTTACACCATGCTTCTGCAGTATTCCAAGAAGCATTCGCTTCTGCTCGAGGCGTATTCACCTTTGGGCGGCGATGGCAAAGTCGGAGACACGCTGCGCCTGCCTGTTGTGACCAAGATCGCCTCCCAGCTTGGAATGACGCCTGCTCAGGTCATCGTCTCGTGGAGCATCCAGCGCGGCACAGTCGTGTTGCCGAAGAGTGTTACACCGAGTCGGATCGTGGAAAATCTTCAAGGTAAGTTAGGCTAGACGGAAGGAACGTCAAATCTCTTGGGACGATATATATAGTCATCAATGCCTGTGACCCCGACAATTTCATCGCCTCCTGTTTTCATTAATACTGCTTTGTTCTCAGAAGTATCTGCATCTACCCCAGATTTGTCTGAATCATCAGCAGTTGATAGTCCTTCAGGCCAGCTTGAGAGAACAGTGGTCACATAGCTCTTCCAAGCAAAAACTTTAAATTTCATATTAGTAGAGTGATCAGGAAGCTGCAGAACATAAGCTGATGCAAAAGGAGCACCCATCTGCTGCATAGAGGTCAGTCCATTAACCATTTGTAATATAATGGTCCGATTATTTTCTCGTGCCACATCGGAGTTGCCCATAGATACAGATCGTCTATTTAACACCAAACGTGCAGTATTAAAAACGTGGTACATTTTCAACGCATTTTTTGAAATATAATCTGTGACATATGCAACTACTGCCTTTATAGATGTACCAGATAACAGACTAGTCCAATCAGAATTGCATCTAAGCAGATACACACCATCCGAGGCAAAAGTATTCAACATAGGCTCTAACTTCTTCACATTGATATGCCCATCGAGAGGATCAACCTCAGTTCTCTCAAAAACATCCCGAGGAAATCGAGCAGAACATGATCCATCTTTTCTAAGACATCCTTTTACTGATTTCCTAAATTTTTGACCAGCAACTGGTATTTTGGTAGTATCCGAACCTATGACTGAAGCACGACAAGAATGAACATTAGATCGAAGTATAATATCATCAACTGTCCGTTCTTTCTCTTTCAGCCATAACTGCATTGTGTTGCATTGTACAAAAGAAGCAGATTGCAAGCTACCACCATGTTTGGCACATAAAAGTGGAGGTTTTTCAGGTAGTGTCAAGATAGGATCAATATAACCAGGAACATATTCGTATTCTTCAACCGCTGAGCGGATTTCAGATAACGAACCATTAGTAAATTCACCTTGGTGACAAGATTCAAGATAAGCTATCAAAGTTGACTGGAATATACCATCTGAGTCTTGTAAGCGATCTCGAATCTCTTGTGGTGATAAGGCACCACGGATCCATATAAGCATATGCATATGTAGCGTTAATCTTCCCTGCTGTTCTACAGTACCATAATAAGCGTCTGTTTCACCTAAGAGTCCTGCATGATCTGTTTCAACACCCAGTATATGCTTGATAAATAATCTAGTCATATAATGAAAAAAACGGGCGGCAGCCACAGGGTTATTAGCAATTAATCGAAGTCGGTCATCAGAAGTTCGAAGATCAGGACGGAAAACTGTACTAGTGCCAGCAAAGTATATACAGAGAGGATGTTTTATGTCAACAGGTGCAAATGTTACAAACCAAGACGGGGCCCCTTTATAACTAATCAACGACCAGAGTTCATTGCGCATGTATTTCTTAGATGAAATTGACCCTTGCACTTTACCTCCCACATATTCAAGGTCATCCAGTAACGCGAAGCATGCTTTTTCTTCAGAAGTTTTAGGTATTATATGTTCACCACGTTCCATGCGAGTAGCCAGATTGCCTAACACATCTACATTCACATTACCTAAACGTTCTGCAATTCCCTTGACATTCTTTTTTTGTACTAAGAGAAAACTTCCTGAGGATGCCCGCTTAATCTGTGAATCATTGAATGCAACCAAGGGAAAGTAGAGGTCCAATTGAAATCTCTTATCATAGTACATAAGCAGTTTCTTCTTATGCATATCCTCACTGATTCGTCTCTTATGCGTTGGTTGTGCAATAGACCCAAGACCATATGGAAATAACCAAGGGAACATTTGTGGATAAAGATGAGGATTATGAAAGAGGGACTCTGGGTCTGCGGTTCTACCAATTCCAACCATTTTTCCACCTTTCTTTAGATGTTCAGCAGCTTTGGCTTTCAGAGTCTCTAAGTCTGAGACGGACAGTGCATCTGCTGTTAATGTGGACACAGCAAATGAACAGGGCCCATTTGAAGTACCTTCATCCTCACCAGGATCATCCAAACTCATAGCATCTGGTACTAAATTTTCCTCTGACCCATCTGTTTGACAAAATTCCACGCCACACACCGGACCAATTATAGGCAGAGAATTTAGATTAGATTCAGAAATTACTACATCTGCATAATCCTGATGATTAAGTTGAAGCCAAGTCAAGGCATCATGAACTACCTGCCGCCGAACGAGCAACGGTGTACGTTTAAAATCATCATCTGTTGGGGCTGAACTACCGAGAAATATGAAAGCCAGAACTTCACTCAATTGGTCCGTTGATGGGGGTAGTACATTATATATTTCTACAACGGGTGTGGCAAACATGACTGCATTAGCAACCAATTTCCCATGATTGGATGCAGCAACCCTAACCACACATCTGTTATGTCTAACTCGAGCAATCAATAGCTGTTCTGCATAGGTCAGGTTTTGCAGAGCTGCAGGCACTTCACCCAACCAGTTGAAATTTGCTAAAGAATGAAGTGGGACCTCCTTTTTAAGAAGCTTAGATTCACATACAGTACATACAAAGTCACAGTTGGGAGCCAGAACCGGACCTTCACATTCTACCAAGGGATCATCATTTGAAAATCGTTCTTGTCTAGTTCCACCTTTTGGCGAATGCAGAATCTGCCAGTCTACCTCCAAGTCACTCTTCCGTGTCATCTGATGACAAGGAGTTAATGCACCACATACTGCACAACCCGCCTCCTCTACCACATGAGGACTTATATCATTACAGAAATCAGTTATAATCTGGTGACGTAGTTTGAGACTGGCTGGCTGTGGAGGAAATGATGCAAAATGACTTGGTTTTGCTGGACGACTAGTGCGTTTACTGATTCTTAAGGCTGAACTCTGCTTATACACCGCAACTTCACCAGGTAGTTTGTGGGAAGTTTTTCTATCAGCTTTTCGATTTTCACGGTAAGCTCGGTTGTAGTCTCGTTTTTTTAGATAATCTGTGTGCTACAGCAGAAGTAGACGAATACACAACAAACAATGTACAATAATCGACACAAGAATCATCACATAGATGAGTTGATAATAGTTCACGTACAGACTTGACGCCAGACCGGGAAGGTATTACAACACAATGCGCCTGAGCAATAGGAATCAATTCTTTCATTGTTAGACGCGGCACTAAGAGATTTAAAGGCATAGTAGTAATAATATTAGCTTGATTTTCCTGAACATCACATAATCGTATGTGCCCAGAATATTGGAGTGAACCGTCAGGTGGAATATCAGGACTCCAAATGACCCATGCTGAAATTTGCTTGGAGTCAAACAACAGACTGTTTCTTCCACCTCCTTTGTCATCAGAAGGAACACTTGCAATGTTACAAGGCAGAGTAGCTAAGTCGGTATAAGAAGTTTCATACATAGCACCTAACCTACATATATTGAACATAACTTCCAAAAAAACAGAGAGCATGCAAGGGTGGTCCAAGAAATGCAGAGCCAAAGGCCTCACAACAGCCCAATCCCATGTCCGATACATGCCACGCATCATAAGCCATTTAGACCTGCGAGCGTTGTACGTGGAAGATACAACAGGATATGCACGCAGTTGCATAGATGATAAGTACTTCAAAAAATAGGAAAACCGTCTCCAGCCTGAGCTAAGTACGAACAGTAGTTCACAGAATCAACGGGATGATTTGTAGCCGTCCCATCGCATAATAACAAAGCTCGTTGCCTCACAGACACTCCTTCGAATGAGAAAGAGAGCGGAGCAGTGTACACAGTCTGACATGGAGTACATGTCAGTCCACGCGTCCCGAAATCGAATCGGGAAGGCCCTGAGGCCGGCCTACAATCATCGAGAATGTGGCCTTGAAAATAGACAGACATCCGAAGAGCCGTGTCTCGTGTGTTGTTTGGATGGTAGGTGGCAACATATGTAGTTGCGGCGGCAAAATGAGCAGATGCGAGTAGGTTGATGCTCACTTTGTAAGACAAGTGTTGTGCCGAAGGCAAAGGAATCAACGGGTTGGGATATCTGAGTGGATTGTGTTGCGTTGCCGTTGGATTACGGAGTGACGACAACGAGTATACAGGTGCAAGGACCCATACAAAAGCCCACAGCAACAAGACTAACTCCGCCGGACAGCGTAGACGGCGGTTCATGGTGGTAGAAAGCATAAGGAGTGTCTATTAGTAATATCGATTTGTCCGACTGAATGAAGCCGTCGCTAGCCACAGCCTGAGCGATACAAACCAATTTTCTACTGGCGGGCATTTGTCAACGTTCACCCGTACGAATGATTAACAGCGGCGTAAAAAAACAAATTTCTTGGCTATTTGAACAAAAACATGCCGACAAACTAATTAGTCGTATATTGAAAGTTTGCGCGGAACGTGATCCCCCAAGACGATGACCCAACGTATATTCAAGCTCAGTCCGTCCCCGCCATCCTTCTTGATATAAGAGACTGCGTTGTACCCAACCAGAACCATGGAATCGTGAGGGATTTCCAATTGCGGGAAGCGGGGGAGTTTTTCCAAGCGAGCCATACATTCTTCGTACGTCCATTTGGTGCTCCTACCGTCGTATATAGGTACTGAGAGAGATGAGTCACACATCGAAAACAAGTATAGAGAACAGACTGGTGTCATTGAAGTCGAGTTGGTCACGACCAACTAACCCGACTGGAGGCGCGGCACGAGCAGTAGGGGTAGGAAAGCAAGGGTTAGAAGTCTGCAAGTTTTCTGGATTTGCTGAATTTAGTTAGCAAGGAGATCACACTCTGAAATATGAGAGGCATACCTTCCTTAATCTCGCGATTGGTGGAAAAGGTGACAACGCCTGCACGGATCTGAACAGATAGAGCGGACTTCTGCATGACCATGCAGGTGAACGACGCAAGTCGTTCGGCTTCCCCACGAACAATCATACCGGAGATGCCTTTCTCCCTCGTCCCTCCTCCAGCCGCTTGACCAACCGATAAGAAAGAGGTCGATAGCCTCAACACCGTTGTCATTGTCGCCACGGCGTCAAACTCGGCGACACATATTGTATACCTAGACAAGCATGAGATAGATATGGATTAGCCATAAATCTCGATTACCGTGGTTTGAGTCCGGTCGCCGGGCGGACGGCAATAACTTGACGAGGTGAGGCCCGAGAGCCGTTGATGAAGGATCGGTATGTTCGAGCTTCCAACGAGCTAATTAATAAACTGTGCTCGAAGTCAACATCTGTTCAATAAATAAAAGCGAGCCACGTACTGGCAATTAGTATTGTCTGGTGTAACTTCATCACGAAGTCTGGCATAAGTGTAGTTGCACACGGCCTCCTGACTCCAAGAACTCCACCCTCCAGCACTGAGGGAAAGAGCCGAATGAGAGAATATTTAAGAGCAATAGATGAATAAGCTGACTTTAATGGAGGCAATGCCTGAAAAATAGGTCGCTGCGCTTCGGAAGAACATCGAGGAACACATTGATAACTCCACAAGATGGGGGTAATTCACTGGCAAAATCAGTGCGCAAATGATCGGTAATAAGAGAACGCAACTGACGGTAAAGGAAGGACGGAAAATGAAATATTGTCGATGTACTTTGAAGGTGGCGGATGGGAAGATCTGTTGTCGACAAGTTTGGAAGGCGGTGGAGCGTTCGAAGAAATGTCGTTGTCGGAAAGCTCTTCCGAAGGATCACTGACGTAGAGTTGGGTTATCGATCATCGCTCGACCACCATTCACATACCGCTTTCGTTTGCCCTTATCTAGCGGTGTCACTATAGCGCCTTCATGGACCGGAATCAACTCAGAATGGACTGATCCATGGGAGGAGGTCGAGGGTGCTGTCGACGCGTCCAACCCGCCAGAGGATAGAAGTCGCTGAGCAGGATGCCTCGGCCCCGATCTTTTGCTTGTCAGTTTTTCTATGGCCACCAGGAAAAGACTTGACCTAACGGGGGAACTATCGCCCTTGACAGCCTCAGGACGAGAGTAGCTAACATTACGAGCAAGATACTCACTTGAAATAGTCAATCAGAGGCTAACACGAACCATAGCGCACTCACGTAATGCCAGGGAAAATATTCTCCATAGATTGAAAGTCGAAAGGACGAGGAACCAGGTCACGAGATTCGTAATCGGTCGATCGGCGTGATAGTCTATCGTCAACAGAAGGCAAACTGTGAAATCATTAGTTCAATGCGAACGGATTGTAAGAGCAACAGACGATGATTTTTCACTGGGAGCAACAGAATTATAAGCAGAGGACTGGGCATGTTGGCCCTCTTGGAAACTTTCCTCGCTACAGCAGGTGAGAAAACACGAAGACGAGGGGATGTAAGACCAACAAGGAAGGAACAACCGAAGGGCGAACAATCAGATGTGTTTGGGTATCAGGACGTTGTTCCCCTGTGAGGAAAATAGGTGAAGAGAATTTGGGTATCGAAAGAGTGGATGAGCTTGAGGTAAATGTCAAAGCGCACAATTCGAACGACTTCTGGAACCGTACCTGGACACAGCAGAGGTTTCCAGAACCTTGCTCGGAGCTTCGACATGAAAGCTGATAATGATGATAATGTATTTATTTAAATGCAGATTCTTCTTTGGTGTTTTGTCCTTCCAGCCAGCCTGCTGGGCGAAGAGTGACACGTCAAAACATATCCAATGGGTGAGAGCATGAGCATGGATTGGTATATAGTGAGTCTGCGGAATTAGATACGCTCTGATAGGGATGCCTATCCTGATCGACAGGCACGTGGGTGTACCCGGCGGGTTCTGAGGGAAGGCGGGGGAGGACCCACAGTAGGTGGGTGTTCCACATACCCAGTCGGGAAGCACGCTGGGTGTAGCCACCTGTGGTGGGTGCTGCCTTGCCTTTTCAGGCAGGTGTGGGCATTACCACATGCCTGATGATGGGATCACCCATGGGTGCTGGCTGGAAACTGTCTGGGTGATCCCATCAGATATGGGTGATGCCCTCCGCTTCGGGTGGGCATTCCAGGGTGTGCCCACATTAATGGGTGGATACACCCACACCTGTCCCATCAGGCATGATTGGGTACACCATGGGAGGGTTCAAAGGAGGTGTTCTGGTATACCCAATGAAGCCTTGGGTGTTGCCTAGGTTGAACATGCCATCAGCATTTATTTTTGCAAAAAATATATAATAGTATAAATCTACCTTTAGTGCTTCTCCTTGCCCTAGATACTGTTATATACCAGAGAATATCCTTCCACCTGTCTAGACTAGTTACTTTATAGACTCAGACTTGTTCTCCATCCCCCTTCTATGATTCTTTTAGATAAATATATAAGATGATATCATGTATAGAAGCCCTGCAAGCCAACCCATATACCTGTAGTTCTTTTCCTAGCCCTAGACTATGATAGAGCAGAGAATACCTTTCTATCTACTTATGCTAGTCACTCTATAGCCATCTAGACCCCCCTCTAGCCCAGAGCCCTAAACCCCCCTACATACTATACCCCCACACTAATCAAAGTCTTTTCCCCGTCCCCTAATCACCATAATATACTACCTTAGACTAGTCAGACCATTTATATAATTTCTATATATTTTTCCCACGAGTATACAGCCCAAAATGAATTTAATACTATTTGCTTAGGATGGGTGAACCACAGGCACTAAATAGCTGGTGTGATGTGACAGGGGGTGGAGACACCCATGGTGATGGGAACAGTCATAGGATGCGGGTTAAACCCATGCAGGGGAACCTCTTAGGTTAGAAGTCAGGGGGGGGTATTTAACCCTAAGAGGTTTAGGGGGTGGTAGCCTGAGGTGAGGACCCATATCCGACATGGCAGAAGCTCGAGGAGCTGGTAGCGAAGGGGAAGCTTAGAAACATTGGAGTTAGCAAGTGTGTTAGTTGTTGTCGACATACATCTCCGTTCTGACATGCTTTTATAGCTTTAATCTCCGCAGGGTTTGTGTCGCAGCCATCTAATTTACTTCATCTCATTTGCTATAGACTTCAGAACCTCACTGCAAACCCACTCAAGATCCAACCCGTTTGGCTCCTTCACATCTCCCTCGACTCAACATATTTATAGGTTGAGATCAGCTATTGGGTCCCACAACCTGCGCTTCTCGATGTCTGTCTGATTTACTTTTCAACTTACTTTCTTACACCATGCTTCTGCAGTATTCCAAGAAGCATTCGCTTCTGCTCGAGGCGTATTCACCTTTGGGCGGCGATGGCAAAGTCGGAGACACGCTGCGCCTGCCTGTTGTGACCAAGATCGCCTCCCAGCTTGGAATGACGCCTGCTCAGGTCATCGTCTCGTGGAGCATCCAGCGGGTACAGTCGTGTTGCCGAAGAGTGTTACACCGAGTCGGATCGTGGAAAATCTTCAAGGTAAGTTAGGCTAGACGGAAGGAACGTCAAATCTCTTGGGACGATATATATAGTCATCAATGCCTGTGACCCCGACAATTTCATCGCCTCCTGTTTTCATTAATACTGCTTTGTTCTCAGAAGTATCTGCATCTACCCCAGATTTGTCTGAATCATCAGCAGTTGATAGTCCTTCAGGCCAGCTTGAGAGAACAGTGGTCACATAGCTCTTCCAAGCAAAAACTTTAAATTTCATATTAGTAGAGTGATCAGGAAGCTGCAGAACATAAGCTGATGCAAAAGGAGCACCCATCTGCTGCATAGAGGTCAGTCCATTAACCATTTGTAATATAATGGTCCGATTATTTTCTCGTGCCACATCGGAGTTGCCCATAGATACAGATCGTCTATTTAACACCAAACGTGCAGTATTAAAAACGTGGTACATTTTCAACGCATTTTTTGAAATATAATCTGTGACATATGCAACTACTGCCTTTATAGATGTACCAGATAACAGACTAGTCCAATCAGAATTGCATCTAAGCAGATACACACCATCCGAGGCAAAAGTATTCAACATAGGCTCTAACTTCTTCACATTGATATGCCCATCGAGAGGATCAACCTCAGTTCTCTCAAAAACATCCCGAGGAAATCGAGCAGAACATGATCCATCTTTTCTAAGACATCCTTTTACTGATTTCCTAAATTTTTGACCAGCAACTGGTATTTTGGTAGTATCCGAACCTATGACTGAAGCACGACAAGAATGAACATTAGATCGAAGTATAATATCATCAACTGTCCGTTCTTTCTCTTTCAGCCATAACTGCATTGTGTTGCATTGTACAAAAGAAGCAGATTGCAAGCTACCACCATGTTTGGCACATAAAAGTGGAGGTTTTTCAGGTAGTGTCAAGATAGGATCAATATAACCAGGAACATATTCGTATTCTTCAACCGCTGAGCGGATTTCAGATAACGAACCATTAGTAAATTCACCTTGGTGACAAGATTCAAGATAAGCTATCAAAGTTGACTGGAATATACCATCTGAGTCTTGTAAGCGATCTCGAATCTCTTGTGGTGATAAGGCACCACGGATCCATATAAGCATATGCATATGTAGCGTTAATCTTCCCTGCTGTTCTACAGTACCATAATAAGCGTCTGTTTCACCTAAGAGTCCTGCATGATCTGTTTCAACACCCAGTATATGCTTGATAAATAATCTAGTCATATAATGAAAAAAACGGGCGGCAGCCACAGGGTTATTAGCAATTAATCGAAGTCGGTCATCAGAAGTTCGAAGATCAGGACGGAAAACTGTACTAGTGCCAGCAAAGTATATACAGAGAGGATGTTTTATGTCAACAGGTGCAAATGTTACAAACCAAGACGGGGCCCCTTTATAACTAATCAACGACCAGAGTTCATTGCGCATGTATTTCTTAGATGAAATTGACCCTTGCACTTTACCTCCCACATATTCAAGGTCATCCAGTAACGCGAAGCATGCTTTTTCTTCAGAAGTTTTAGGTATTATATGTTCACCACGTTCCATGCGAGTAGCCAGATTGCCTAACACATCTACATTCACATTACCTAAACGTTCTGCAATTCCCTTGACATTCTTTTTTTGTACTAAGAGAAAACTTCCTGAGGATGCCCGCTTAATCTGTGAATCATTGAATGCAACCAAGGGAAAGTAGAGGTCCAATTGAAATCTCTTATCATAGTACATAAGCAGTTTCTTCTTATGCATATCCTCACTGATTCGTCTCTTATGCGTTGGTTGTGCAATAGACCCAAGACCATATGGAAATAACCAAGGGAACATTTGTGGATAAAGATGAGGATTATGAAAGAGGGACTCTGGGTCTGCGGTTCTACCAATTCCAACCATTTTTCCACCTTTCTTTAGATGTTCAGCAGCTTTGGCTTTCAGAGTCTCTAAGTCTGAGACGGACAGTGCATCTGCTGTTAATGTGGACACAGCAAATGAACAGGGCCCATTTGAAGTACCTTCATCCTCACCAGGATCATCCAAACTCATAGCATCTGGTACTAAATTTTCCTCTGACCCATCTGTTTGACAAAATTCCACGCCACACACCGGACCAATTATAGGCAGAGAATTTAGATTAGATTCAGAAATTACTACATCTGCATAATCCTGATGATTAAGTTGAAGCCAAGTCAAGGCATCATGAACTACCTGCCGCCCGAACGAGCAACGGTGTACGTTTAAAATCATCATCTGTTGGGGCTGAACTACCGAGAAATATGAAAGCCAGAACTTCACTCAATTGGTCCGTTGATGGGGGTAGTACATTATATATTTCTACAACGGGTGTGGCAAACATGACTGCATTAGCAACCAATTTCCCATGATTGGATGCAGCAACCCTAACCACACATCTGTTATGTCTAACTCGAGCAATCAATAGCTGTTCTGCATAGGTCAGGTTTTGCAGAGCTGCAGGCACTTCACCCAACCAGTTGAAATTTGCTAAAGAATGAAGTGGGACCTCCTTTTTAAGAAGCTTAGATTCACATACAGTACATACAAAGTCACAGTTGGGAGCCAGAACCGGACCTTCACATTCTACCAAGGGATCATCATTTGAAAATCGTTCTTGTCTAGTTCCACCTTTTGGCGAATGCAGAATCTGCCAGTCTACCTCCAAGTCACTCTTCCGTGTCATCTGATGACAAGGAGTTAATGCACCACATACTGCACAACCCGCCTCCTCTACCACATGAGGACTTATATCATTACAGAAATCAGTTATAATCTGGTGACGTAGTTTGAGACTGGCTGGCTGTGGAGGAAATGATGCAAAATGACTTGGTTTTGCTGGACGACTAGTGCGTTTACTGATTCTTAAGGCTGAACTCTGCTTATACACCGCAACTTCACCAGGTAGTTTGTGGGAAGTTTTTCTATCAGCTTTTCGATTTTCACGGTAAGCTCGGTTGTAGTCTCGTTTTTTAGATAATCTGTGTGCTACAGCAGAAGTAGACGAATACACAACAAACAATGTACAATAATCGACACAAGAATCATCACATAGATGAGTTGATAATAGTTCACGTACAGACTTGACGCCAGACCGGGAAGGTATTACAACACAATGCGCCTGAGCAATAGGAATCAATTCTTTCATTGTTAGACGCGGCACTAAGAGATTTAAAGGCATAGTAGTAATAATATTAGCTTGATTTTCCTGAACATCACATAATCGTATGTGCCCAGAATATTGGAGTGAACCGTCAGGTGGAATATCAGGACTCCAAATGACCCATGCTGAAATTTGCTTGGAGTCAAACAACAGACTGTTTCTTCCACCTCCTTTGTCATCAGAAGGAACACTTGCAATGTTACAAGGCAGAGTAGCTAAGTCGGTATAAGAAGTTTCATACATAGCACCTAACCTACATATATTGAACATAACTTCCAAAAAAAAGAGAGCATGCAAGGGTGGTCCAAGAAATGCAGAGCCAAAGGCCTCACAACAGCCCAATCCCATGTCCGATACATGCCACGCATCATAAGCCATTTAGACCTGCGAGCGTTATGCGTGGAAGATACAACAGGATATGCACGCAGTTGCATAGATGATAAGTACTTCAAAAAATAGGAAAACCGTCTCCAGCCTGAGCTAAGTACGAACAGTAGTTCAC